CACCCTGCCAGCCCCCCTCCTACTCTCTGTCTCTGTGCCTTTGCCTCCTCTGGGGCCTCACTGGGGTGGAAGTGTGCAGGACTGGGAGGGGCTGGGAGGTTTCTGTTTTTTAGATCTGTCCTCGATGGTGCAAAACCATGCAGCGTGGGTTTGACCATCTTAGCCGTGTTGAAGTTAGAGCTGGGCAGCAGATCCCCGGAGCACTTCATCTCCATCCATGATCACAACCCGCTGCCCTCCTCCCCCCCCCACCCTGCCAGGGACGCGGGGGATGGGGAGGTGGCCGCACCCGGGGGTGGCAGTGTCAAAAACACAAAGGACCTGCCACACGCACACACACACACACCCCTCGCCAAGGCCCCATCGCTGCCCTCCTCCCCCCCCCAAAAAAAAGAGGCGGATGGGAGTTCACAGCCAGGGGGACAGAGGGACAAATGGCCCTTCAGCGTCCGCCCTTAGGGCCATCGCCACCCACCCCCCCTTGGGGCCTCGCGTGCATTATCTCCCAAGTACAAAGGGCCCTGCAAATGCAGCCCGAGGGGCGACCCCCGCCGCCTCCTGCGCTTCCAGACCGAGGGACGCGCGCACCCCACTTGGCACACAATTTTGGGGTGCAGCCCGAGGGCGGCAGAGGCGCGCAGTCCCGGGGGGCGGGGTGTCCCGCCTCTCTTTGGGGCTGTCCTGCGACTGCTCTCTCTCCCCTCTCTCCTACCTTTGTGTGTGTGTGTGTGGGTCTCGGGAGGGGGGCGGAGGCGCTGTCCCCAGACTTGGGGACAACTCTGGGCACCTGAGGGTCCCTAGGCATTGGGTGGTGCCAGGGCTCTGAGCGTCGGTCGGTTGATGTTTTGGCCAGCGAAGATCCCTCTCTCCCTCCGGGTACCTGTCCCCTGTTTGCAGGCACCGGCCCCTCTGCCACTTGGGGACTGCCCTGTCTCTGGGAGCAGCGGTGCCCGCGCCTCCTTTTGCGGAGTTGGGGCTCCCGCGCCACGGGAGCGGCTGGGA